TAAAATGGAGATGGTTTTGTTGATCGTTTTGGGTTATTCGGAGGCTTGATGTTGTGTGACACTATACATTCTATAGCAACCAGAAGGGAAGTCTATTAAGACTTAATCTGGAAGGTTGTTGGCTTGTCTATAAAATAACAGGATAGACCTGAACCTGTGAACTTATGAGCTATTCTTTAACTTTTTATATCACTGAGTAATAGACTAAAATTTTTGGAGATTGCAACGTCCCAAGAACTCTTGGAAAGAAGCTGTTGACAGTATTTCATTTGGTATTGGTAATTGGCTAACGGTATCCAGTGATAGAGCCAGCTTTTGGTACCATCTAAGGAAGGTCATGGATCACAATTGAACTGTAAGACCTTCGAAGTAATTAAATAAGTAAGCGTTTTAGACTAGCCTGGTTTGTTATCAGTAGAACTATTTAAATTCTATATTCAGTAACTTAATCATATTAAAACTTGGAGATTAAATGGAAGCTGATTGAAAGAGTTTTGATTAAGTCAAGTCTGGAAATCAGTAGACACGAGCTATAAATAGTTGAAGAAGGTTTTCAAGACCCTGACCATAAGCTTTAAAACTGAATTATCTCTTTATCAGACAGAAGGATAATTTGGCTATGGGTAGGCACAACAAGAAGGCCTTGAAACCTATCAATGTAGAATTTCAAACTTAAAATTACTATGCCAAGATTCAAATAAGTGGAAGAAAGTTAAAAATCGCATTTAATCAAAGAAGTCGATTAAGCAAATAAAGCTATTTGATATGTATTCTATGCTAAAATTCACTACTCGAATGCCACAGGTCGGATGCTCGATCATTAAACCGGCACCAAACTGGTGTGATTCTGGAATTTTGCTGGATTTAAATCGAAACCAGAACCATACCAGAATCATGCTAGTTTGACGTTGGATTTCTATTCGATCAACCAACTTGTGCCAATCGGGCTTCATTAATTTAAGAGAATTCTCAGTCTACATAGTAACACAATACCTTCCTCACAAAATTGCTTACAGAACCTAAAGCTTTCGTCATCATTTTTCGCAAAAAAAAAGAGAACAAACTTCCAATGGTCAATCCAAATCACTGCAAAATCAGAATTCCCCCCAAAAATCAGAAATCTCTCAGTTTACATTAGAGAAATCAAATGCGCCTCAAAAAGTCCAAATCATTCAATAACTCCCAAACGAAACTCTTTCATTCAAGGCGCGGAATTCTCTTTCAAAGGAATGCCATTAAATATTATTTAGCGGGGGTGAAAGTGAATTCAGGGTGTGTTATAATATTTTTTTTTCTGCTCCATATAGACAACAACTATGAATCAATATGGATATAGTTGAGCTTCTCGCAGGGCTATCACCTTGTCTATTATAAAGTTTCTTTCCATAAAAATAAAAAAAAAATTGCTGCTATGCAAAGTATGAGCGACAGTATCGGCTGATGGACGATGGAAACCCTTTTTTAATAACATAGCAGAAGATAGAGAGAGAAGGAATAAAAAACAGGGTGTGGGACCTTTTTGCGCGGCGCTCTGTATAGAAAGTCTTCTGAAAAAGTGTTGTATAACAACAATAATGAATATTTTCATAATGTGCAACAATCCTTTTCGGTTTCAGTGTATTCGATATCTTTCGTTAATAGAGTCCTTTCATCGTACTATGTTGAACTATTTGTGTTCCATCATTGTGTTTCCATCTTTCAACGTGAGTGGATCCTTCCTGTTTCCAAATGGTGTTTGATTATTTCATTTTAGATATTTTATTTTGCCACTGTTAGTTGTTGAGTGAATTAATGCTCGTGGATTAAAAAAAAATGAATGTGAAACGTGAAAGTTTAGAAGTTCGAAAACGGAGCATATTCAGCTCAAGTGCTGAATCTCTAGAATCATTCGATGATTCATTATCAATAACGACACAAGAACAGTTGTATGACAATATAAGATTACACAAGGAAATAATACAGTCAGTTAAGTTGCAGCCATGGAGTCTATCAAAAAAATATAAAATTGTACAGCGAGCAAAGCAATATGTTGCAAAACATGAGGATACATTGCAGGAAAGATTTGCACAATCGGGAAATACTAAGGATCTTTATGCTCGATTTAAAATCGTTTTGGCTGATGTAAGGAAATTGACTTTATGGCAAGGGATGGACACTTATGGTTGTAGAGATGTTTAAGAAGTTGTTATTATTATCAAGAGCTGGTGTCTTGGATATACCTTTTACCGATGATTTAGAGCAGTGTTGTTCAAACTAAATGCCGCGTCAAACTAGTGTACCGTAGCAATTTATTGCAAATTACTCGAGCCGCATGCTGTGTGCGACTTTGGTAATGGTTTACCTTTACGGTGTGCCGTGGCTCAAAAAAGTTTGGACAACACTGATTTAGAGTATAGCTGGTTTATACCCGAGCAGCCAGGTCAAGCGACCAGATTAGAGTTCAGAATATCAAATTTGCGACGGTCAATGGCGAATACAACATGATGGGAAAAAGTTTCATCTGAAATTCTCATTGATTTCCTGTCAAAATTGAAAATTGTTGTTTCTTATCATGTTATTTCCCCCTTGAAATTACCCATTCAAACCTCATCATCCTCAAATTTAACTCTTCCCCAAAAATCTACTAAGTTACCATCCCTTGTACAAAAAAATCACGCGAAAAATTTCCACTTCCAACTAATTTCCAAAAAAAATCACATTTTTATCGTCCATAGAGATTCAAATATTTGAAGCGCGAGTTTTTCAATTTCTGTGCTTTACTGATACCATGGGAAATACGCATAAAAGAAATTGAATCGCGCTTCGGATCGGTTGTGGCATCATATTTCATTTTCCTTCGATGGCTATTCTGGGTGAATATAGTCATTGCAAATATTTTCATATGGTTTGTTATTGTACCAGAGGTAAATGCTCTTTATTGACAGTTGTGACTGGATTGAAAATTGCTTTGGTGGAGTCTTTAAATGTGGAAACCTTGATAATGGCATAGTTTTTAGGAAAGTTATCGTGAAACTGACTTTAGGTGCTTTATATTAGTGGCTTTAATCACAAAACTTAAGGACAGAATGCGATAGAAGTGACTCGACAAGATGGTGTCTTAGTGTTCGATACCTAGTCTTGCTATACAGTTTAATTAAGACCATGTGATTTATCTTTTAATATAAAAATGCTTCACTATCCTTAACAGACAATAGATAAACAAAACTAGCTCAGATTCGAATGATTTTACTTGAAATTATCCTCAAGAAGTCGATTTGGTTCAAGTTGACTTGACTTGACTCTAATACATCCACTTTAAGCTCTATGACCAGAAAAACAAATGCTTGACACTTTTAGAATAAATTAAATTGACAAAAAAAACTTCCTGCTGTCTGAAGTCATGATCAATCCAGTCGCACCATAACCTAACCTCAAAATTCTCATCCTAAATTCTATTGCCATTAAAATCTTACTTTAAAGATAATGATCGTTGACAACAAGAAACTAGGTTCAAATGAGACAGTAAAGTTCTACGAGAGGAAAGTAATGCTAAAAAGTGAACGAGAAATAGCACCAAATTTCCTCACCGTTTGGGACTTTGAAGGCTTCTTGAAATATTCACCAATATTTTATGGGTAATAAATAGTCGTGCGTGATGGAATTTTTTATGATAATCATAATAATAACGTCTTTTTATCTATTTCAGCTACTATTTGAATATTGTTGGAATTTACAATCTTCCAATTGCTTACTTTCTTGCTGGCGTGCTCGTCTACGTCTATTCATTTTTCGCCACATTACGAAAGTAAGAACTTTTCTTTTTACGATCAACTTTTTCACGTTCCTCATTAATTAAGGTGAACCTCTTCTTTTCCATTACAATATTAAAACATTAATAGGATGGCTGAAAATTCGCGAACATCAAAATTGGGCAGTAAAGAAGAAGAATGTATATTCTCGTGGAAACTTTTTACTGGATGGGATTATATGATTGGACATTCGGAAACGGCTGCTAATAGAATTGCTTCTGTTGTATTAGGATTTAAAGAGGCGTTGCTTGAAGAGGCAGAAAAGCAGAAGGATAAGAAGAAGTGAGTTTTTGTATAGGAATTTCATTAGTTATGACATTGAGGTGCGAAATCAGATTATAAGTTTGATGACTTGAAAAGTTTTGATATCTCTCGAGTTTGAATTGAATATTAGACATAGCTACTTTTAACACGTGTTAAATATTGATTATTACTCCCTCGTGTTCATGTCTGTTTCAGTATAATTTGCAATTAAAATAATTTACTGCTGACTGACAAAATTATGACCATTAAGTTGAGACATTTTATGATTCTTTTGAGTCATTTAGACTGTTATGGCTAGGCTGACTAGATACTTCTATGGAAAATGGACAATTTTGTTTCGGGGGCGTTCATTTATGACGTCTTGGGGGAGGGAGCAAGAAAAGAACAATAGAAATTCCTGGAAATCCATTGTTCTTTTTTGAAAAATGACCGTTAATTTCGGACGTCATAAGTGAACAACCTTCCTTATGAAATTCAATATAATCTAGTTGAAACCCGAATACCACAAGTCGGTTAAAAGAATAGAAATCCAACACCATAGTGCAGACTTAAATCGAATCCAGCACAATGCTAGATTGACTGACTTGTGCTATTCAAATTCAGTGTTGGCGGCTCTAAAGCAGTGTTTCAATTCCCCTAATCACCATTATCTAGCCGAATTCTCATAAGAAAATCAATTCTCAACTAGAAAGTCAGCCTCCATTCAACCATAATTAGTCCCTTGCCTTATGATTAATTATTCCACTTTAATAATAATTAATACCTTTTATAACAGCCACACGTGAATATTTACTTTCAACACGAGTCGCGGCAATTTATTTGATGATTCCAAAAATTATTGTCCATTGTTTGTCATTTGAAAAAAGAAGCTTTCATATTTGTTGTCTGTTTCCGGTCTGTCATACATCCACTAATAATAATTCTTTGTATTTTTGTTTGCTTTTCAGCTGGAAAACCATCGTTTTACGAATATTTGCGAATATCAATGTGATTTTTCTTTTAGTCGTGTCTGCTTATGCTGTAATTAAAGTTGTCGAGCGTTCAGAAGAAGATCATGGAGGTTCTTGGTGGCGACGAAATGAAATCACGATTGTCATGTCTTTAATATCGTTCATATTTCCAATGCTTTTTGAAATTCTTGGATTAATTGAGTATTATCATCCGAGGATGCAGTTGCGACTTCAACTAGCGAGGATTATGAGTCTCAATCTGTTGAATTTATTATCTTTAATTTGGGCATTGTTTGAGAAAGTTCGAGGCATGATGAAGAGAGTCGCTGAGATTGAATTGTACCAAAGTATGATGGAAAATGCATCCATGATTGCAAAAACAATGCGACCACCATCAAGTGTTCAAACTCCTTTATCATCAACATTATTGACTACATTAACCAGCACGCAATCTACAACATTATCGTCCACAACACGAATGACAACGGAACCAACAACATCTAGAGACATTTTAACAACGACCAGTTCTACAATAAAATCAATCACCGAAGCAATTTTCGATAAAATGACGGAAATTGTAAATTTATCAACATCTACGGAATATCCACTTGATGATAAAACAGACATTTATGATTACAGCAATCCTGATTACTTTGAAGTTGATTCATCAACAATTAATATGTTTTCTTCGACAACATTTACGACACCTAATGACTCAATGATCTACGATGACTATGCAAATTTTACAAATGACATCGTCAATATCACAAATGCAACTTCCGAAGTCTTAACAAATTTCAATATATCCAATTTAATTAACAGTGTTACGCCATTCTTCGACATGGATCAATATTATTATGATTATTACAATGATTCAGATGCCGTCAATGGAACTAATGCTGATGCAACAAAATATTCAAACATGCTGGCTAATAAGTTCAATCATTATCGATATGATTATCAGAATAGCAACTTCGATGATGAGATGAGATATTTGAATGCGAGTACGAAGGAAGAGATGAGAAAATTGTGTTGGGAAACGATGTTTGGGCAAGGTGATGAGAACAATTGGTTAATTAAGGTTGAGAAGTTTTGGAATGAACAGAATGAAGGTTTTTTCTCGTTCGATACTCTATTTTATTCCATATTCTAGAGACTACTTTAGGTCAGATCAAATCCCAAGACATTATTCATACCGTACCATACGACACTACCCGGGTTTTTTCCTGGGTTTTCTCACTTAATACGGTAAGGTAAGGTAGGAACGGTACGATATGTATGATATAAAAATACCATCCCGAGTGTAGCTATACCGTACCTTACCGTACCTTACCGTACCTTACCGTACCTTACCGTACCTTACCGTACCTTACCGTACCTTACCGTACCTTACCGTACCTTACCGTACCTTACCGTACCTTACCGTACCTTACCGTACCTTACCGTACCTTACCGTACCTTACCGTACCTTACCGTACCTTACCGTACCTTACCGTACCTTACCGTACCTTACCGTACCTTACCGTACCTTACCGTACCTTACCGTACCTTACCGTACCTTACCGTACCTTACCGTACCTTACCGTACCTTACCGTACCTTACCGTACCTTACCGTACCTTACCGTACCTTACCGTACCTTACCGTACCTTACCGTACCTTACCGTACCTTACCGTACCATACCGGACCGTACCAGTAGCGGAGAAACCGGGCCCAGCAAGGGCTATGCTCTACCCTAGATCATACTCAAATCAAATTTTTGAAAGAAGCCATTAAAGTCAAATTATATCTGTCATTCCAAAGCTTCACTGACTCAAAAAATTAATTCCAATCCGAAAATTTTTCTCAATTTAAATGTTAATTAAGACTTCCACTTCGTTGCAGAATTGGTGAAGCTAACTGTCATGGATCTGGTACGTACTTAATGTGCATAATAATCTCTCATTTTTTATATTCATTTCCTTCACATAATTACAGTTACTGACAGTTATGCAAATTCTCATGTTTGACTTCTTTCGTGCATTATTCGTACGATATGTGAATGGATGTTGGTGTTGGGATTTGGAGAAGAAATTTCCCAAGGTAGGTGCCCGTAAATAATCAGATTTAAAGATATCTCAAAAGTGATTACTGACAAAAACTTTTTATTTTGCAGTACGGCGATTTTAAGATTGCCGAAAATATTCTTCATTTAGTGAATAATCAAGGAATGGTGTGGATGGTGAGGCTACATACGAATAAATTGCCAAAATGGAATGCAAAATTAACTTTAATCTTATATTATTTGTATCTCATCAGGGAATGTTCTTTTCTCCTGGTTTGGCGATCATTAATCTGATTAAGCTTGTATTAATCATGTATTTGAGGTCTTGGGCTGTTCTTACTTGCAATGTACCGCATGAGGTTATTTTTAGGTATGCAAATTTCCTTTGGTCAAGCTGTTTTCGGAGTTTTTTGTCGAGGAATAGCTTTTAGCGCGTTTTTCTCTTGGGAAACATTTTAAAGAATTTTTGAATTGATTTGAATTTATCTTAAGCGACTATAAGGTTCATTTTGACGAAGTGCTGATGTGGAAATAATGATAGTTGCATCAAAAGTAGGAAAATGGGGATGTGATGTTAATCTATTGCACGTGTAGTACTAGTCTAGGGTAAAATAGGCTGGAAACCCTGAATACGACTCATATATTGACTAGGGTAACCTAGAATACCCTTCCTACTTAGGGTAGGTCTGAGAGGGTGCCCTAGAAACCAATTTCAGCACCTAGTCAATATGAAAAAATCCCTAAAGAGAAAAACGCGCTAAATTGACTCTCAAACAATACCAATCCACTCTTACCCAATTAATCTCCTCAATTTCAGAGCATCAAGATCAAATAACTTCTATCTCACATTACTTCTTACAATGCTGTTCCTATGTGTTCTCCCAGTCTCATATGCAATCGTATGGGTCGCACCGTCTAAACATTGCGGACCATTTTCCGAGAAGAAACTCATGTATCATTTATTTACCGACACGATCATGTCATTGATGCCGCAAACCACGCACAGATATTTACAATACTTCGTTAGTCCAGCAGCAATCATTCCACTTTTGTTACTATTAATATTGTTCATCTACTATCTGATATCTTTAACTGGTGCACTACGTGAGGCTAATCAAGATTTAAAGACACAATTGCATAAAGAGAGAACCGAGGAACGAAAGAAAATGATGAAATTGATGGAAGATAAAATAAATGAAGTAACGATCTCGAAAAATCGATTGTCAGCGAGATGGAAGAAAGTTCTTGACATATCGAAGCCACCAGGAACGATGACAACGCCAACAATAACGGCAACATTGGTCGATGATTCAGCTGATCGCAAAAAATTGCTGCTAACGCGAGCAATGAAAAATATTTTAAAGAAAAAGTACTCGAATGAGGGCGATGGAATACCTAAAATAACGACATCTGAGGCTGCAGAGCCGTGAACTTCTTTCTCTCTATTTTCTATTTTTACTCTGTTCGTTCTTTGAAGAGAGGAAGAAGAAAAAAAAATCCTCAATTTAATGTTTGTTAATTGATAAAATGGAATTTCAATTGATGTTTCTAGTCGATGTTCGAGAAGAAAGCAGTGAATAAAGAAAAATGCAGTAGAAAGGTTGATTGAAAAATGCAGTGATTTAATAGCTTTATTTTTCTCATCGTGTCCATTAATCATGTGTCCGTGAGTCTTTAGTGCATGCTTTTAGCTATTTTTTGTGCAAAATTGCACGTGCTTCTGTTTACCTTTGTTTTGTTGGATGATAAATTGTTTATACCTCAGGAACAACAAAAGTTAATGACTTTTTGTGTATTGCGGTATGTTTGTGCTACTTTATGGCTTATGAATTCACTTTAGATGAGCAGAATGCCTTGAGTTTAGCAGTAAATATTTGACAAATACTTTTTGAGGTGGGAAAATATTCAAAGAAAAAAAAAATGGCGAAATTCAAATTTTGAAAATCCGTTAATGAAATTTTATCAAGAACTAGTCTACTGCTGAATATCTAATTCAAAAAACATTAACAATTCACAATGTTCAATGAAAAATGCGTCTAATCCACCCACAAACCTTACTCAATGCGAAATTTTCTCCTTGCTTTTTACGACTATTATTCCTCAACTCAATTAAGAATACACACGATTAAATTGTATGTAAAATAATGAGATAAAGGTTTTTGTAATGTGCAGCGCCAGCAAGGTGAAAAATGCAGTCATTTTATGTAGGAATATGAGAGATCATTAACATATTTTCTATGAGTTTTTAAATCAATTATAGCAATTTATTGACCTATCATTGATCTGAAAAAAATGTACAGCATCATTAAAATCGAAGCGTGTAAGTGAAATTAATGATTACAGGAAACTTTTATGCTTTTTTAAATTGACATATTTTCTAAACGGCTTACAATATTTTTTTTTCATACTAATTGATATGTCTTTAAAAAAATTTCTATGTAACAACGATTCAGGAAAGACATAAGATTGTCAGTTTACATATTGTCGGTTTGATTACATGAATATGCAATATGGATCAACATTGTCTAAGTTGTACAAGATCTGAGTTTTGTGGAGTCTAGAGGCGATTTTGGAGTTGGATTAGGATTAGATCTAATAGTGGATTATTTCTTAGGTATGGAACTATTCAGGGATGTACCCAGGGTTGCCCTAGAATGCTGTATCACGAATCTAGTCAGTAATTTACTCTTATTAGCACTCCACTCTAGATAATCTCCGAGAAACCGGACCCAGCTTTGACTAGACATCCTTGATATTATTTGCAAACACAAAAATTCATGCCCAGCTATCGCCAGATAAATATAGGTCAAGTTAATGCGATTCATAGAAAAAAAATATTGATTTTACAATGATTAATTGTTTTGAATACATTAATTCTGTGTATCTAGGCTTCAATCAAATAATAATAAGAATAAACACGATGATCGCATACAAAATGATACAATGAAATTAACTCAGCATTTTCTCACAAAAAGTTGCGTATGATAAACACACAAACCGCTGACTTGATAATTGCTAAGTTTAAAATTTATGAATTTTAATGAAAGATATTAAAGCAGTAGCAATTTACAGCTACAGATAATGCTCATAGTTACAATTCAAGTTTATTGTGACATTATTTTTATATGTTGATACATGTCGATTCATTTATTGCTTCATTAATTCTTATAAAGTTGTTAATTTGTGTCTTGCACTCATGCATACAGCAGATCCAACCTTGAAAAGTAAGTCCACAATTTTATTCTTATTTTATTGAGTGAGATTTTTATGTGCCAATGGGATTTTCAATCAATTAAATTGACACACAAGTTCAAACTGATTTAAATGCGGTTCTTTTCTATTTCTGTCATTCTCAGCGACTGAAATCGATTAACAAAGAAGAATAGAAAGAATATTTTTTCCACTAGACATGAATACTATATTTGATGAATGAATTTTTGATGATTCAATGACTCACTTTATGTCCAAAATAAATGGAAAATGATTTATGAGGAATAAGTTGAAGGAATTGGAAGGAAAGCGCATTTTTATGAATTGTGGTTTGTTTGTGCTGCTTTTTTAAATAAGAATTCACATCAGATGAGCAGAATGACTAAACTTTTGCTGTAAATATTTGAAAAATACTTTTTGAAGTGAGAAATTTTTTGAAAAATAAAAAATGGTGAATTTTAAATTTTCAAAAAACCGTTAGAATCTTAATAATTACAATTTGATCCAAACTTTAGTTCCAAACTACTTTCATTCCACAATCTGAGCTATAAATATCAACATTTGTTATTCATATTTCTCATCATAGATTTATGGCTAATATTTGTGACCGAGTCAATTTCCAAAATATACATCACGTCTGATAATTGACTGACATTCATATTCTATTCATTCCTTTAATCAACAGAGACAATAAACGCCTTCAACATTCCGGGCACAATTTTCGTGTTGTTTATGAAGATTCGAGTTGACAGAACAAAAATGATGATCATATTCATAATAATAATTTAGCTTCATTCTAATGATGGAACAGTAAAATTGTTTTTGTCGTGAGACTTTATGATAATAGAATTTATTCACTCCCCGCTAATGAAAATAAAGTTACGCAATGCGATGTGATGTTTGAGTTGGAGTTTATTTGAAGGGAAGAAAAATAATTGGAAGCACAAGAAATTGAAATAAATGAGAATGATTCTCAAGGTCAAGACACGAATTGGTATGGATGGGAAAATATATGTGCTAAAATTCAAGCATGCAAAACTAGACCGTCTGTGTTTTCTATTCATTTTCAGGTATGGTAAAAAGAGGGATAGCAGATTTTTGATTTGAAGTCTTAATTTTTGGATAGGAGAGTGAACTTAGATTTGGCGTTTTGCCTTAGCTAAGATAAAGGGTTTTTCGATGTCAAGAGCAGTTTCACTATATTCTGCGACAATCGAGACGTCGCTTGAGAAGAAGATAAATGATTAGGAGCTGTTCATTATGACGTCCAGAGGATTGGGGGGCAAGAAAAGAACAATATAAATTTCTAAGAAATCCATTGTTCTATTTGAAAACAAAACGTTAATTTCGGACGTCACAAGTGAACGACCCCATTTGTAACCTCTCTGAAAAAAGGAACTACTAGCTACCCAAAGCAATAAGGGGTCGTTCACTTATGATGTCCAACATTTAGGGGGAGGGGGGGGGGGGTCAGGGAATTTCTGATATCCAAATTTTTTGTGAGAAAATTAACTTTTTTTTTGTGTCTATGATTGGACGTCACAAGGAGGGGGGGGGGGGTGGAGTTGGGGTTATTGTCATCTGTGACAAGGGGAGAGTTTTTTTAAAAATTCTGTTTTATTTGATAAACGTCATAAGTGATCTCTTAGATCTCTTCTTGTCTCGATTTTCCTCCCTCCCTACAGCTATACAACACCACCATCCTTCACTCAGTCATTTCTACATTTCTTCTGTTTAATTTTGGTTTAATTAAAATCTTCAAATTGTAACAACCTTTACAACTCTAATTAAAATACAGCAAAAAATCCCTCTCAGCAATTCCAAAAACATCCCACAAAGTATTAAAATTAAAGATTGAAGGGGTCGACTTATTGTAATTGCTTACCATTAATCGTCCCATTGACTTTTTCTTACTTGAAATTTAAAATTCAGACCCTTTTATTTCGAATGCCAACTGCGTAGAGTTAATGACGTTGCGATAGAACTCTTTAAATAGATTATGTTCTATATGCTGAAGTATTTACTTATCACATTTATTTTTTTTTTGCAGTTCTACATGCATGATTATTTTTATCACACGACTGTTCGCTTACAAAATGACAGAAAAAATTCCAATTTAAAGTTATAATTAAATTAGTAGGTTTTCAGGCAGTCAGTCTCACAATTTTAGCTTATGCAACAAAGTAATTATAATTTTCTGACTCAGACATGGATTATGATTGTCTTACCTGCAATTTTTGCGACATGTCTATCCATAAAATCCAATTGTAGGACATTGAGTTCATCACGAACCCACGGCTTTTCCTTTAATCCTCTTGAGCTTCTTAACACTCGATGTCTTGGGAAATTCTTCATTTCATCCATGCTTAAAACTTATTCACTGTCTTAATTTGGCACAAACGATAAATTTATTCCACATACAATTAATTAATCACTGCCATTTGCATTTCAAATTTTACATTCCCATCGACATTCACTCACAATGGCTCTTTTAATTCAACCAAAATTAGAATTTTTTTTAAATTATTTTTTTTTCACCTTAATTAAAATAAAAATTTTAAACAAAACAATTAAAAAAATTTCACATACACAAGTTACGACGTTAACGGAAGGCCGGTTTGTTAAAGACTGTTTTGTTGATTAGAGAATATGTTGAAAGAGAAAACAAAATGCTCAAATGTTGTCGCCGCACGATAACTTTATTCGCGTTCATCTCCTTTCGTGTGTATGCTTTTTCATTCTGTTCTGTATAGAAGCAGTTGAGATAGAAAGGCTTGCGTTTTGAAATTTACGCAAAAATGAGAATTGAAAGTTGTTGGATGTTGGGAAAGTGGGGCGCATTTAAGTGATTTTCAATGACTATTAATTATATTCATCGCAAAACCGTTAATTACCGAACTTTTTGAATTTGAATATGCCCAAGACACAATTTCTGTGTTCATTTATCCAAGACACAAACTTTGAAATTATTAAATTTTAAGTTTCTTCAAAATTAAGCATGAATAACGAATAATTTCTGTAACGATTCAGTTCCTTAGATACTTTACATAATTTTGTTTACTTTGCACTGACTACAAACTAGTTTGGCTAAGAATTCATGTTAAAATTTACGAATTTTTGATTGTAAACAACTTTTCACCAAATTCACCACAACTGAAATAATTTGAACTTTTCAAATTCGTTAAAATCATCAAAAATTACCATAGATTCATAAATTATGGAATATGCATTGTTTATGCTCTTTTAAGATACTAATCACATAAACTCTATGACTATCTATTTAAATTAATAGTCTTTGAACCCACATCAATGAAATAAACCAGCTTATCAAGATCTTATACTCCGATAAACATGAAACCTATCTAAACAGATTTTATCAAGCTATAGTCAATCATACCCCAGTCAAAACGTAAATAAATATTCACTTGTCTTCACAAAAAACAAGCAGCAGCAAGCAAAAGTCTTTGAGGAAATGAAAAAGTAGGGAATGAAAAACGAGACCTACGAAACGGCATCACGTGTGTGACAATGAACATGAAAGGAGCGATTTTGTGTATTTATGTAAAATTTATTAATGAGGGGAGAACGAAAATCACGAAAGGAATTTTATTATTCCGATAAGCTATGATTAAAAACAAGGCGCACATTTTCCCTCGCATTTGAGCATTTTTATTGTAACTTATGGATGTATAAATTGATGGACTGTGATTCAATAATCGAGAATTTATCGATATTTTTTATCACAACAATATTGAGGGGTGAGATAGAAATTGGAAATTTGGAAGTTTCCCTCATCTTTTAAGATTTTCCACACTCAATTTAATGATTTTTTACCTTCAACTGTTGCACTAGCACTAAAATAAATATTTATTTTTCACTTTAATTTAACATTTAATCTAATTTGCACTATTTTATCATGAGATGATTATTCTTTTGTCTACAACAACAAGGATGAAACTGTGAGTCATACTGATTCTACGTGTGTGTTTTGTTCAAATATAGGGGAGAGAATAAGGTTGATAAGACTTTTTTTTTTCCTCCACTTCTGGAGACTTTTTCTTCTTTATTTTTATATTTTTTTGTGTGTACGATGAATTTTCCCGGTCTTGCGCAATGTTACATCTCGAGGATATTTCCCGCTCTCTAAAGCACGTGCATTGCTGTGACGTAACAATTGTCATTCATGCAAACTAGAACAGATGGTATGAATAAATGAAGATAGTTCCTTTGATATGCAAATTAGGACTTTCTCTTTTCTATTATAAATTGGACACATTTTCCATTGATATTCCTTGTTTCTTGTTCATTTGGTTCTCTTTTGGAAAGTGATATTTGTATTATCATGTATAATAGATGTTGTCGGCTATTCGTGCAGCATGCAATGAGTTTTCAATTTTGATTTGGAACTTTGAAGGATTTAATGATTTTTTTTGAATTAAGAATTTTTGATTTTATTGTATTATTAGATGTAATTTTATGCATGTGACATTGGAGCAACAGTGATTTCGATGTGATGTGAAAGCAGCAGTGACGTGACAATAGAGCAACAGTAATGTGATATAAGGACAATAGTGATGTAACTTTAGAGCAACAGTGATGTGACAATAGAGCAACAGTGATGTGACATTAGAGCAATAGTAATTTGAAATGAGGACAATAGTGTAGTAACATTAGAACAACAATGATGACATTAGAGCAACAGTGATGTGACATCAGAGCAACAGTGACGTGACACTAGAGCAACAGTAATGTGATATAAGGACAATAGTGATGTAACTTTAGATCAACAGTGATGTAACTTTAGAGCAACAGTGATGTGACAATAGAGCAACAGTGATGTGACAATAGAGCAACAGTGATGTGACATTAGAGCAACAGTGATGTGACAATAGAGCAACAGTGATGTGACAACAGAGCAACAGTGATGTGACATTAGAGCAACAGTAATTTGAAATGAGGACAATAGTGTAGTAACATTAGAACAACAATGATGACATTAGAGCAACAGTGAAGTGACATCAGAGCAACAGTGACGTGACACTAGAGCAACAGTAATGTGATATAAGGACAATAGTGATGTAACTTTAGAGCAACAGTGATGTGACAATAGAGCAACAGTGATGTGACAATAGAGCAACAGTGATGTGACATTAGAGCAACAGTAATTTGAAATTAGGAAAATAGTGTAGTAACATTAGAACAACAATGATGACATTAGAGCAACAGTGAAGTGACATCAGAGCAACAGTGACGTGACACTAGAGCAACAGTAATGTGATATAAGGACAATAGTGATGTAACTTTAGAGCAACAGTGATGTGACAATAGAGCAACAGTGATGTGACAATAGAGCAACAGTGATGTGACATTAGAGCAACAGTAATTTGAAATTAGGTCAATAGTGTAGTAACATTAAAACAACAATGATGACATTAGAGCAACAGTGACGTGACATCAGAGCAACAGTGATGTGACGTGAAAGAAATATAAAAGTGACAACACATAAAATTTAACGGTTTCAGAAGATTAAAATTTCTATTAAAGCACGTTTCGTAGATTTCATGTTACTCAGCATGTTGCGCTACACAATTCACTGAATCGTACATTAAATCAACAACGAATAACAAATTTTAAACATCCTCAAAACTCCTGCAAATAAATAAAACAAATAGTTTAAATAGACCAATTTCGATATTTCCAATTTATTTAAATATCAATAAACTTTTCACGAGACAACATCTCAGCATCTTCATTAATTGAAAGCAATCTATCTTCAGAAATGACAGCACCAAATGAATCATCCGACATATCATCATTCTCATCAAAATTATCAAGATGACACAAAAAGTTATCGTCTTCAAAAGTTGGAAAGAAGAATTCAGGCTTGTCGAATGACTTGATGTCGCATCGCGTATGATTTTCGTGACTTAAATGAGTTAATAAAATTTCTGCGTTCTCAAAGTTCTCGTCGCATGCTAAGCATTGCTTTAGATGAACTTTTCGCCTGATATAATTCACGAGCTTGACTTTTTTATAAAAATTAAAATTAATTGTAATTTCCTCGAAGTTAAAATTGTGAATTAACTTCATGTGACCTAGTAATTCATTAAAATCTTTATCCTTGTGTACGCAAAACAGGCATGTTGTAAGGATTTCCTTATCTTGTTCGCTCCATTCACTCCATTCTGAATCCTCATTCTCAAAAATCTCCTTATCGTCATCTTCAACAGGATTACTTTCTTGAAAGTCCCGTGGCGTGTATGATTTTTGAGGATATTGCTGTTTTACTGGCGGTTCCTTGATTTTATAATTCACCATAAAGAATCTATCATAAGCTTCATTTTCAGGATTAATCTTTTTATGACCTTTCTTTCTCATGTGTTCCTTTAATGTTGCACGGTCCTTGAATATTTTCTCACAATAAATACAGACTAAATTGCTTAATTTCTCTTCCAGGAAGTCTATTAAGTCGTCAATAAAGACAAGATTCTCTGGCTTTCCAAGATGTAAGAAATGCTTTGAATATAGATGCTCAATATAGCTGTATCTCGTTGGATCTATAACTGATCGACAGTACAGGCATCCACGATTATAATTCTTGTCACTACGCTCGAACTGATGCCTTGAAAGTGCAATTTCAACTTGCTTCTTTTGTAAATTCAATCGCAATTCTTTATCCTTCGGAACTATATCACTCAACAGGTAATATTTCTCATCCTCCTCAGTTTTAGTTCCGTCAGGCTTTTGTTTCCAAAGCATTGTCGTGCAATATTCTTCGATTTTATGGCCTGTCAAAAAGATGTGAAATAACGGTTACAAAATTTTTGAAAAATTAACGATCAAAAAATATTTGAAAAGTAGCAGTTTAAATTTCGAAATCGGTTAAAAAATAACGGTTGTTTAAAAAGCAATAATTGGAACTTAATTAAGCTAGAAACTGCTAGAAACTATAGACTGCAGACGAACGGGAAGATTACAGACAGTATTGTTTACAATTCTCATTGAGAAAATGTGTTTTTAATTGAAAACAGAATTTTTTCACTGATTTATATGAATTTCTTACCTTTATATTCCTTATTCCAAAACTTTAGATATTCCTTTAAATCAGCAATATCATTAGCATCAGAAATGATTAAATGGTGAGTAAAATACAGGTGCTGTAGAATTTTTTTACTATCTTTTTCATTTTTCTCGATGTGCTCACAAAGTATACACATCCAGTCATCGTCTTTATGTTGCCTAGCTCCTTCTGGTAATTGCCTATCAAGTGTCAGTGGCTGTAGAATCGTTTGATTAGCTATTTTCTCCATTATAATTAAGTTTAAGAAATGTCAACAAAGAACCGATTTCGAAAATTCGAAAATCAAACTACAAAAATAATAACCATGTTGGCAGTTTTTGTTTGACCGACTGTCCATGATCCAATGAAGTTAAGCACGGAAGTTTTGATAAAAATACCGAAAAAAGTTTAATTTATTAAAAAGTCACATAAAACAGCAATGATTCGCTTGTTATTCGATAAAATCAGATTACCTAGTGTTCTGCCTATAATCAGCAGGCAAATATCATCCACATCAAAGCAATTTGTAGCCCAATTACCGAAATCAGACAAAAATGAATTTATTAAGGATGTTATTGTTTATAGCTATGACAATCCAGGGAGATTTAGGTTGATTAATATTTTTTCTATTAGTCAAATGATCTTCTGGGCATATCTTGGTAATTGGGCGTTTACAGACATGAAATTCGTCACTGTGAGTATTTCTCGATGTTCTTATCAGGGTTGAATTTTAAAGAAATTTGACTTTTTAGGTAAAAGAAGGGGTTGACGAGACGTTGCCCTGGTACAGAAAAATCAATCTTGGGGAAGGGAGATATAAAAACACATTAGCTGCTGGATGCTTCCTAATAGGTTCGTGAAAGGTTGATGCATTGTTGTCTCTTATTTAATGTCTGGATCTTTTAAGGATACTTATCAATCGTGCTAGGATGGACTTTTACTCTCCGCTCAATTAGATATCTAATCATGAGAAAAGATGGTAAAACTATCTCTTTAGTCAGCTTTACACCGTTTGGAAAAAACAGAATTATGGATGTTCCTTTAAAAAACATCAGTGTTTCAGAATCCAGAACATCCAGTAGAGCATATTTACCTGTTAAAGTAAAGGACACAAGATTCTATTATCTCCTTGACATGAAAGGAGACTTCAAAAACACTAGATTGTTTGACAATGTTATAGCACTTAATAGAAAGCTTTAATTGACTTTTTGTATAAATATTTTATTAGGTATCAATAGATTTATGTCTATAAAATTGCAAATATTAAGTTACTGGAAGCTTATTTTGTTTATAAGGCAATTCGGAATGTTCTATGCTGGAAATCTAAAGTTCTTTGTGAATGTACTTTCCAATTTAGGCAGCATGCACTGATCTCGATACCCACGTTTCATGGATACTTCATTTATAACGGAAGTACAAATGTCCATTAAATGCTGGCTCTTATGAAGTTCTGAGACTTTCTTAACTAATTCTTGTATAAACCAGCTTCCATTTTCGACATGTCTAACAGAAGCAAATCCTTCAATGGTCGACCAGAATATCAAGAAGTCAGCTCTAGTTGATCCAGAAATTAAGTTTGATTGATTCGGTCCATCAAGTTCAGTTTGAATGATCTTTTTGACTGTTGGCTGTAAATTGTCTCCTTGGCACGCTTGAATCAACAGAATCTTCGGTTTATTAAGAAGCACTTTTGATGACATGTTTGCCTTAATATCCCTTACAAACACAGGAACTGAATCACTGCCATAAAATAAGCCTTCATGTCCATGAGACAAGACACAGACAATTAATCCATCATATTTTGAGCTTTGCTTGCTGGCTTTGTCTACTTCCTTAATTATTTCAACATGTGTCAAGTCATTCTTGACCACGACATGATACTTGAAATCTTCAAAAAGCTTCTTAAGTGCTTCCATGTCCTTTACAGTCCCATTTCTCTCTGTAAGGATATCTTTTGGAAGTAAATTCATTAACTCAATGTTTGTTGTCTTTCTAAAATGCTGCTGATTGATAATCAAGGCAAACATCTTTTTCGTCCTGTAATTGTCGAGTGGATTTGTAAGAGTTTGTACATCATTTTGTTCTGATCGTGTTGCTGGAATGCTTTGTTCTCGATTTGTGGAATTAAAATCGCCGTTTGCTGAAGTGTCTAAAGTATTCAGCTTTGTTGGGAATTTCTTTAGTAGCTCTAAAACTGAAGGATCTTCAATTGTTGTGGTACTTTCAAACTTCTTTATTAATGACAGATCACATCCAGCTGACGTCACTTTGATTTTATCTTCAGTTATTGCATGTAATAAATGTAATTCCAGTTGATCTTCTAAAGTTAAAGTTGATGAATCACATTCGTCTTTTATAAAATTAATAAGTTGATCATTTAAAGTTTTTGGACATGCTTCACACAGCTGATACAGCAGTTTTAAACCAGGATTTAATAAGGAACTTTTTCTTACAAACTCACGAGCCATCGGAAGGGGAATTCCCAAGTTTTGAATACATTCAAATGCCTTGATTGTTCCGAGAGCCTCAATTATTGTCGATTTCCAGTTATCATGATAGTTTGCGTAATTCTCTAATAAGCTGATTTCAATCTGCTTTTCTTTCAGCTTTTCCAACACCCATTTCGGTCTTTCTGTACCGAATAATAGGAAAGCTATTGATATCAGCTCATCTGGCAGTAAATCTTCCTCTAAAAACTTTAAATCTTGTATTGCTATGTTCCTCGATTCCATTTTAATGACATTTTATCATCTTAAAAAAATCACTATTTGCTGGGAATCACCTGTGGACTATGAAGTGAGAAACATAAGCAAACAAAAGAGTATTGAGTGGGGAGGAACTAAGAAATTTTTTGAATTCCTCGATGAATTTTATTTTTTTTTGTAAAGATGGCGCTAGTTGTGAATCTTGCATGGTGATTGAGATTCCAACATATATGAAGAGCTATTGGAGTTACACAAGCAGATGTTTCAGGCTCATTGCCTTGGGTGAACTAGTATTTTGAGGTTAGCTTCAATAATTTTAAAATTTCTCTGAAAATCAAGTGTCTCTTCAGATAGTTTTTGATGTGTTTGAACGTTGCCACATTTTTCAATAGATCAATTTTACTTTTATTTCCAGAAAAGCTGTCAAAACTGAGATAATTAAGAAAAACTTTTTGAGGTGGGAGAAAAATTTTCAAATTTAAAAAAGTCTTTATTTTTTGAATATGAAAAAAGCATTATAAAGCATCCTCAAGATACCAGAAACCGTCCCAACACATTCCTTCAAAATCTTAAAAAAATCATGCTTTATCAGGTATTGGTTTGCAGTACACTCTAAAATGCCGCAATCAAAAACTCCTGAGTCAGATAATCATCGAAAATTCAATTACACATTCAAATATTCGCATTTAAATTGCTCGAAAACTATCAACTGCCTCGCAGTATTATAATTTACATTTAATTTAGTGAAAGTATTTAATCAGCATGTCATCATCATGTATCTTTATCGCTTGTACAACATAAGAATGTAAGTAATTTAATGCCCTTTTCTCACTACATTTATTTCATGCCTTCCTTCTTGCCTTTCCTTCGCAGCAATTTCTCGTATTTTTAATTTCTTAATTAAATTTTCAAGAGGGTACCAAAAATGGTCAAAAGGTGTTCGACTCGGAAAATTCTTTCTTGTTTTTAATTAAGCATCTTGTTATCAACAGAATTGATATTAAATGTCCCTTAAATTTCTTGTGAATATTCAAATTATCTCAATGATGCGACTAGAGTTGCCAGATTTTAAATACAAAATTGGTAACAGCAACAAATGAATCTTGGAAGGTTGCAATGATTCGACTTTGGGAATTAATTTAATTTTTATTTTGTTTATTAAAAAACTGTGGAAAATCTTTGAGCTGTTCAACCCTCTTGCTGATTTTTTTAAACTTCTTTTTTCTTTGTTTTTTACGGAAGAACGAACAGCAACAGCATCGCTAGTGAGTAAAAAGGAGATGAATCTTCCGTTTTAAAATGATGTAATAAAATTCTCGGGTTCCTTTAATGTTGCCGATTTTTTTCATGCCTTTTTGACTGCAAACTTCTAATGCCTTTTTCTCTTTTGTGATGTGAAGTGATTTTTTGATGGTAAAAATGTAATCTTTGAGCTCATTTTGGACATTATGTCTCTTTTAGGTTAGTATTCAATACTTGGCAATTTTTGATTGAAAATCAAGAAGTTCTTCAAATGGTTTCTTGTGGATGTTATCGTAGCCACTTTTTTCTATCGATTAATTTTACTTTTAGTCGCAGAAAAGCTATCAAGACTGAGAAAATTAAGAAAAACTTTTCGAGGTGGAAGAAAACTTTTGAAATTTAAGAAAGTCGTTATTTATCAAACCAAAAATTTTTCAAATTTAAAAAAGAAACTGATCTTTTTTCACTTTATCAAACTTCCCAAGATCTCCTTACTTACCATTAATGGAGAAAATAGACAGCAACAGAGAGGCGATTAAAAATTGTTTGGTTTCCTCTGTTTTATTAGCTTTGTGATAAGCATCTCCATTGCTTTCTCAATTCTATAGTCTCATAGCACGTAAATAAATTCCAACAAACTTGAAATTTCACTAAAAAAGAAGTGTGCGGGCGTTGATGAAGGGAGAGCAAAAAGTCCACAAGTAATTTAAACGCATTATCGCACATCAAATGGAAATTCTTCTTTTCATCATCGCCTTTTCCTTTCTTTTTTGTTTTCACTTCTGACGCTTCTCATTTCTCAGTCTCGGACAATTTACAGAAGAATGAAGAGAAAAAATTTACATTGAAATGCCAATAAATATTCAAAAACGTAAAGTTTTAGCACGTAATTCTTCAATGTGTCAAGATGAATTGAAACAATTTAAATTTTTTTATATAACACATCACAATAGGAAAATAAGCTTCAGTATCTCGATTTATGTATATAGTATACATTATTGCCAACATAGTAGCTATTTTTATTGTTCAACCAACTAATTAGTAACATCATAAATATTGGAAATCGACATGCCGTTTCGCCATTATTGCCACATTCAGTGTTTTCCCACATCAAAAGGTTGACTTTATAATTTATCAATCGCACTCACTCTTTACTCTATTTTTATTATATGTTATGCTTGATGCTGAAGTGTATGAACATTCACGAGGATTTTTATTCGCAAATGTTTATAGAATCGAAATGTGTAGGAAATAAAAAGAGTGAAGAGTTGGCAAAGTTGAGGTTAGAATTTGAGATTCTTTAGGTATGGCGCATTTTTTAATCATTTTGGAGTTTGATGAGGGTAATCCAGTGTAATTTGGTTGCAGGGAGGGTTAAGGGTTGGATTTCATACAGATTTAACACGATACGAACGAGAAAGCTCCATAGTTTTGCTATAGCTGCTCCTCGATAACCTAAAATGGTTAAATGGAACCTTAGATTAGTAATTCTAGTCTCGAACTATGAAGCAGACGTAAAAATTCGAGTCTCAGCTAGTTCACAGCTACTCAAAGACTCACCTGTTCACAGACTATTGGGTCAGAAAGCTTTTAATCACTATTCACAGCTTCAAACTATGTAACGGTGTAACCTCAGCAATGACGCAGCAATAGCGTAGAGTCTTCGAGATGTTGGATCCCCAAAATTGCTTCCTACATCTTGAATCCTTAAGAATTGATATAATTAGCATCTTGTAAACCATTTCTATATGAGAAGTTTGTTAGAAGTTGTTCTATTCCACGAAAAAGTTCATATCCCTTCCAAAATAAACATTCAAAACCCAAAGTGACACTCCAATTATTTACTAAATTAATAAGCTTCAGAACTGCAAGCATCATGCGACATAACAAGAGTGAACAAAGAATTCATTTCAGTGCATTTTAATAAAACACTAATTTGACAAATTACAAGAGGGTTGTGTGCTCATTTACAGTTACATCCAATGTGAAACATAAAAACTGGATCACCACAAAATAAAATAAAAATAACATAGAGCCAAATTTTTTCTGTGTGAAGTGACTTTTATTTTAAAGCAGAGATTGATACTTGACGGCAGCCACTTAAATGAGAACATACATATTGTCGAGAGGGTAGAAGTCATTGTAGGGGAAAGAAATCTGTTATTGTTATAATTGCCAATATCATTAATTTATCGCTTCTATGCCGAAGATCATAAAAAGCCTCATCACGTTCGTTATATTATAGAAAAATATGATTAATCGAGTGCTTTATTAAATTTTTTTATATGCTGCTATTTTTTTTTGTTTGTTGAATTATGCTTATGAATATTAAATTTAATGTCCGAAAATTAATATGATGTGAATAATAAAAAATAATTCTTATTGTATTTATGTGGTTTGATGATTCGAAATTAAATGGTGCAGAAAATTTTCGGGTTTTTTATGATGCTTTAAAAGTTAACAATATTTTTTTTAAATGCTGCATTTATTGGCTCGTAATGTGAAGATTTAGATTGGAAATGGGAAGAGTTGAAGCCATTTTGTATTTACTGTTGAAAAAATGAGGTTATTTTATTTAAAACTCAAATTTTTCATCTTTTTTTAACTTAAAGCTACTTCTTAGATTGAAAAATAGCTTGCTCCGCCACAAAGCACATTGTTCCATAAAAATATCAAAGAATAATCCTTTTAAGGCTTGCCAATCACTCATTAAAAACTTGATGTGAGAAATCCGTGAGAAAATAAAATTGTAATCCTCAGTCATTAATGAATCCTTGAAAATTATACAAAAATCCGTTAAAATCATCCCTCCAATAAATGACTACAGTAAATAACAATCTATGGCTCTCGAAAACATCAAAATGACAACTTTCCCAAAATTAATTGAATCAATTTGATTTCCATGATAAATTTTAATGTTTGTAAATATAAATTTCACGGTACTAAAAGTGAAATATACGTCCTCATATATCCTATTATGATAACAACCGATGAGAGTTATAACAAAACACACAACAAGACATTGATACAGAAGACCAAATCAAATTTCATTACCATGCTTGTTACATCCCTCAAGAGACAAGATTTCAAACATTTTATGATCTTTTTGTGGCAAATCACAATTTGACAATTAAAATGCAGTGCCATTCGCTTCTCAATAATACAACAATTGCAAGCATAAAACCCCAGGTGCTCTCTCACTCTCATTCACATCATTGTCATCATTATTGTTGACTTTTTGTTGTTTGCATTTCGAGTGTGAAATGAATTTATGTTTATTGCTGCAAAAAACTATATTGTATCATTTTGGATGTTTTACTTTGAGGATATGCATCATCTAAATTTCATGGTTATTAAATTGTTGATGCCTCTTATAAATTTACCAAATGCTTGTGTGTCATTCTTCATTCTGAAGCAGGATTCTAAGCGGTTTTGGGTGTGGATTTTTTTTGAATTGACTTTTAGAATAATTTTTTGAATTTTGAAGACTACACAGCAGTTGTGAGTTTAAGGATTTGTGGATTATATTCTTGCCATCTTTTTAAAGGAGATTTAAGTCACAGATTGTAAGATTTTTGAAATTAAAGCTGTTTAATGATGAAAATACTTTTCGAAGTGAAGAAAATTCACCATTTTGAAATTTGAATTTTGAAAGACTGTTAGATATAAAATGACATAGTATTGATCAAGAATACTGCATCGTAACATAGAGAAAAAGAAATTCAAAATCATATCTCATTTATGACAGTTTTAAAATCCCAAACTCAATCTCATATCCATCAAACATTTTCACATCTCGTCATTCTATTAAAACGATGCAATTTCTAACAACAATTCTTCAATGTCTTTCCAACTTCACAGCATATTTACAGCCTCAAC